GGACCCACGTCCGTGGTTTGAGGACGTCCAAACCCGCGGGTGAAGAGTCTCCGCCTAACCCGCTGAGGACGGCCGGGCGTCCTGGTGAACTGAGGTCCGCCCTCCTCTGGGTGCTTCGAATAACTGTTCACCTATTGATTGTTTTACTCACTTTCGGGTGCTGTGCGCTGCGGGCTGCTTCACGTCAAAGTAAAAATCCGCGGTTTTTGAGGATAAATAACTTCCGTTCCACCAACTTTCGAATTAAGCGCCTAAGGCTGCATGGTGCTGCACAGGTTTTTCTGTTGTCCCGGCCTGGCTTCATCTCACCTGCGCCACACAGGCACGCAGCTCACCTGACGAGGCAGGTTAAACTACGGCACCACCTGGACATGCGTGAGGAGAAACGGCAGGCTCAAACAGCTCCTGGGCAACTAAGTCAGATTGCTGGCAATACTAACTGATTTGACATACACTCTCTCATCTTCGCTCACTCTCTCCACATGCTAAGCCAGGCAACTGATTCTTCACGCTAGAACCTCCCCAGCTTTCGCACGCTCCGCTCGCTTGCACCTCTACTGCTCTGCCTCTTTAACGATCTACCACCAATCCGTCACTTTCTCATCCACACAAGTGCCACGTTCTCTGTTGACTCTGTCATCTCAAACTTTAGATACACATCTAACAGTATTCTCAGGAACTGTACCGAGATACCAGCTCCCTCACCTGGCTATCAAACACTCCGCCTCGCTTGCATCACTGCAAGCTATAAGTCCGCAACCAGTCTCTTCACTGTAAATAATTACCTCTTCTGATAGTACCACAGTACACTGGAAAGCTGAGGGCCAGTAAAAGAGGCTGAAGCACACGACGAGGTTTCTGCTTGTTTCCTCCAGATTATGAATGACCCCCGAACCCGCCGTCAAGCTGGTCTCCAAGAAACTCATCGCGGATTTGCACTCAATGACTGCCGACGAAGCAAGTCGATTCTTAGACAAGTCTGTAAAATGGATTCTCTTTCCCATCATCCATCCCACCTTCCTTTGTAACTCTGTCTTGTCTGCCCAAGATATCGGTGACAAAACTTGTCCTCGCTCTCGCCATGTCGAAATGTGCCCTGACATTTCAGGAAGTGACCCTCACGTCATGTCGTCAGCAGGGGAGCGGTTGCAATGATTACGAAGTACGGACAATCAGGTAATGACTAGAGGCGCATCAAAGAACATTCTTCATGCCACCACCCCCCATCTGCTCTTGTTAAACACGATTACAACGAATCACAAGCAGAGACACTTGACAGCTGCATTAAAGTTAAATTGCGCGGTGAAGATTAGTGCAATTCGGCCCTGCGTGATTGCAACAGACCACACACAGCAAACCCCGGCAACGCCCTCATACGGTGCTCGAACGTTACAGGCTCCTACCAGGTGTTTGGTAAAACCAGGCCGGCACGACCCTACAAACTGCTGCTGCTCCCTCTGTGGGTCCCACATGACCCAGCAACAATGCAGAGCCCCCACTGGATTTGAGTACAGTGACAGATGGTCTGCGTTCCACCTGGCTCTTGGTTGCTTCTTCTTGTATAACCTCTGTGGTGTCGATGTACGGCGTGGACTATGAATTCCTGCGTGCGCAACTCACTCTCTCCGCCACCAAGCGGTCAATGGTCTAGTAGGCCTGGCTTGTATGCATGGTTGATGTTTTATGCAAACGCTAAGGAGTGTAAGGCGGACTCCACATGCTGAGCTCGTTTTGGAGCTTCGACTTTCACCTCCGGGCATCTCGTCACCTTGGACAGGTGCAGGAGATCCCTGAAAGGCTAATGTGCACAACACGTGAAACGCCAGATACTCCCACTTTTGGATGATCAGGAGTTTGTCTCTGCCCTCTCCACGTTTTCTTCTTTTTAAAATACTTTTTATTGTAATGTAAACCATGTCTCTACCCCAATTAGTCCTTTTTCTATCTACAAAACATCAGTTTTGTAAATAAATTCTGATTGTAAACATAATACAGTGTAATATTTAACATTTCCCCCCACCGCCGCGCAGACCAAAACCCCGACACCGCCCGCCCCCGCGGCCCCGCAGCCCCCGCGGGCCCCCGGAGAATGTTTAAAGCGCTAGACACTGCTCACTCACCTCACCGCCCCCCCGCGCCCTCCCATGAACCTCGCCCCCACCCCCTACTGATACCTTCTGCTTTTCAACAGTGTCTTAAAAACCCCCAGAAGTCCATATTCCGCTTTTGCTTCTGCTTGCTCTAGTCTTGCTATAACTTATTTGGGTCATACTACCGCACTGCGATACGTAGAGAGTGAGAAACGGAAGTCGCGAATCGCGAATCAACATTCAACGTAAATCCAAGTTTGACCCACGTCACGTCAGATGGATTTTTTACGTCCCTGCAGGGTGTCTTTACAAGCAATCGAACGAGAACAACCTCCCCACCAATGCCCACAACCTCACTATCACACCTGTCATCAAACTACGACTTCTTGTTACTGTTTCTTGCGATGTGCGCAGACCCTAGTGGCGCAGACATACTGGACATCACCTCGTTTCTCAGTTCATTGAACCAACACTGCTGCAAAATGCCAATATGTTGTTCTTCCCCTTGTGGTTTTCTTAGCTAACCTCAATGTCTTCTTCCTTATCTTCAAGTTTTTATTCCTGGGTGTAGCTGCTCTGTCCTGTCTTGCTACAATGTAAATGTAGGTCAGTCATAACACAGAGAAGAATTTATTTGTTATACGCCAACATGGACTAGTTTGCGTGCTGGCTTGGTTGGATCTCACAAATCACAATGTAATCCCGCAGCTGAAACCTGCACAGCACTGCGGAGCACCGGTTTTTAAGTTGTGAATCCAGGGTGACTTCAAGCCATCCATAAGACAAAATCTCTTGTAAAGAATCATCCTGCATTATTCGCCTTCGAACTCAAACAACTTCAGCAGTCATACCTACTTTTTAACATAAAACAGCCCCAATGTGATACTTCTGTACGACCAGCATGGTTTGGGTATGTGACTTTATGGCTGTCTTCTCTGAGGTTTCGCCTCCGAACGCAGTGGCTAACATTCTCCACACTGCCTTTTCTCCTCTTCGTTTTCGTTGCAGCTAACATGCAAGCTGTTCTGATGTTATGCAAAACATGCTGGGTTGGTCAAGAATGGCCAGCCCAAAGAAGAAGCTCAGCGCGTTACAACACAGAAAAATGTTTAACCCCTAAGGCAAATGAACTGCCAACCCGCAGCAGAGCGTTCCCCTTCATCGTGCTTCCTTGATCTCCACTACTACAATTGGGGTGCACGAAGCTCGTGTTTGTCAAACACATTCCTCACAGATCCACAGCAGGTCCACTCCTCCCGTTCTTTCAGTCCTTCTTTCGTCTCCTGTCTATGTAGATTTGCGTCTTCAGGGTTTTCGACCCTCTCGCCACAACAGAAAGATTGGGGGGTGCGGGGATTCTGCTTCTTTTCTTTTTTTCAAACTTTCTTTTTTTCTTCTTTTTTTCTTGCTTTCTTTGTGTCATGTGTCTGGTGTTTTTAAAGAGCACTTTACTGAGCCTGTATCCGTGACAGCAGTATGGTTGCCCAACCTGTCTGGACGCAGGGCCCGCACTCTCCGCAGGCTGCCACGAGGCACGCTGGCTACGTGGCAGGCCCGACCTCCATAGAAAGTCACCACGCAGCAGTGAAAGGCTGATGAGGCCCCCTCCCACGAGCACCATCGTCACCACCTGCCGTAGGGGCCCTTTGGCTCACTATGTGTCTTTGCTTGGTGTTTAATTCAGTGCTTTTCATGCCTGTGTGCTGAGTAATTTGTCAAAAAATTGTCAGCTTTGAGGATGGTTAAAGCAGTTCAGTCCTCCATACAGATGAAAAGTGAAAAATTTACCATTTCTTGTTACTCAGTCTTCCTTTATATACCTCCTGCCGCTGTAAACACCCAACGCTGACATTGATGGTCAATGCACACTGCATTTTCTTATCAGGCTGCCTTGCTCTAGTCTTTACATCAGCTATCCCCCTTTACTGCCACATTTCAGATTTTAACACATTCACCCCAGCGGGATGGCAGAGGCTGCCCTTGCCGTCTAACCCTTATAAACGTTTGTCACTGCGCAATAGTGTCAGCCAAACAGTCTACGTATTACA